CAGAGTTCACATTCATAACCATTCTGTTATACTGCCTCAGGGATGCACATTAGTTGGCTATTCTTAAAACCAAACAGTGGACATAAAAACTAAAATTTCAGCTGGGCGTGGTGGTACTTGCCTGTAGTATCTGTCCAGCTACTTGGGAGGCTGAGGCTAGAGGATCACTTGAGTTCTGGAGTTTAAGGCGAGCCTGAGCAACATAGGGAGACCTTGTCTTTAAAAAGAAAATCTAAAATTTCAACAACTGTGGGATTATTTTAAAGTTTTTAAAATATTAATACCATGAACTATTATGTTAAATGAAATGTGAATGTTTAAATTTTTAAAAAGTATAATATTAACTAAAATATGAAATTATATGAACAACCTAATGTTTTATATATTACACACACACATAGACAGTTGACTGGGTACTTGGGGGGTGACTGGATTTACTAATGGAAATACATAGCATGGACTGAATTGTGCCCTCTCAGATACATGTGTTGGAGTCCTCAGCCCCAGTGTGATGATACATGGAGATGGAGCCTTTGGAAAATAACGAGGTTTCTATGAGGTCATGAGGGCACCCTCACAATAGGATTAGTGTCCGTATGAGAAGAGACACAGGGGAATGTGCCTTTTTCCTTTCTTTCCCTCTGCCATGTGAGCAAACAATGAGAAGGCTGCCATCTGCCAGCCAGGAATAGAGTCTTCACCAGAGTCCAGCAATGCTGACGTCCTGATCACAGACTTCCAACATCCAGAGCTATGAGAAAATAAATTTCCACTGTTTAAGCCACTCGGTCTATGGTATTTTATTACAACAATCCAAGCAGACTAAGATCATATGAAAAAGGAGAGGATCTGGGGGCAAGAATGAAGGGGTCATGCAGAGATTAAAGCGCCTGTGGACTGCCAAGTGGAGAACTCCAACAAGAGGATGAACTGAACAGTGTTCAGGAGCAAAGTCTGAATTTACATATTGAAAGGTCAACGGAATATAGGTGATAAAGTGAGACACTACCGCGCACATAGTACAATGGATAAGTTTTGATAAGGATACGAAGCAACTGGAAATCTCACCCATTATTGATGGAAATGCAAAATGGCACAGCCACTTTGGAAAAAATGTGATGGTTTCTTGTAAAATTAAACACCCACTTCCATAGAGTCCAGTAAGCACAGTTCTAGATATTTTCCAAGGAGAAATGAAGACATAACCACACAAATAACTGTGTGCACATATTTATTATATCTTTATTTGTAATGGTGCGAATCTTGAAACAACTGAAGCGTTCAACTAATAAGCCACTAAACAAATGAGAATATACTCACACAATGAGGTGAGTATGGAATGGAATACTACTCAGTGAGAAAAAAGGAATACTACTCAGTGAGCAAAATGAACCTTGAGTGCAGAGATAATGCATGCAGGACTTTCTAAAGGATTATGCTAATTGAAGAAATCCAATTATAAAAAGTCTATGACTCAGAGCGGTTTACTTTTATCAAACTCATAAAACTTTAAAATTATACCTTAAACTCTTTTAAACGATGCCTTTAAAAAATAAATAAATTTGAGAAATAAAAATTATGCCTTTCAAAAGACAGTGCGAAAATAAATGAGAAAAAAAAATACAAGATTCAGATTATCTGGGGCCCAGCCTGAGCTCCACCATGAACCCATTCTCCGCCCTCGGCAAGTCATCTGAGCTCCCTGGATCTTATTTTTCCCATCGACAATATGGTGACTACATCTTTTCTCATTTTGTGGTGACATTACAAGGCTGGAATGATGTCATGAATCTCATGTTTTTCTCAATAATACTTGGTAGATGAAAGAAACCCTTAAGGACTGAGGTTATTTGTCTTCCTCTGGTATTCTGTGCAATCCCTGAGGGAGCTAATTTTTAGGGCATCTAGGTGTTAATTAGCTCCTGAATAGAGAGAGTGCCAAGACAGATTGTCCTGGCCCCTGACAGGTTGCCTTGGGTCAGCTTAGCACTCACTCCCCTCTCGACAACGAACCCCACTTAGAGTGCCCAGAGTGCTCACAGGAAGGTAAGTCTCCCCCAAGCCCTCCCACTGCTCCAGACCCCTCATTTCCCTCCTTCTCAGGAAGGGTGGATGAAGATCATAAGTGATCTTCACATGGTTAAGGAATAAGTGATCCTTGGACCCAGTGGTGGTGAAATATAATGAGGTTTTCCACTCGGGGGCACTGGAAGGATGAAGGGCAGAACTGGAAAACAGGGAATGAGAAGGGAGCTGACTGGGGTGACAGCGGAGGAAATCAAGAAAGTCTGTGGAGAGCCAAGGAGGCTGTTTAGGTTGATCTGTGCAGAGAAATCAGTGCAATCTGTATTTGCAGAATCTTATACCTCTATGTTAACCTAGAGATAATGCAGTGCAGACTTTCATATCACAGAAGGGAAATATATATATATATATGTATATATATATATATATACATATATATATATATATATATATATATATATAAACACACACACATTATCTATATATGTGTGTGTATATATTCATATATATGGCAAAGGCCTTGAGACAGCAGGGGTTGGCAGAAAAAGAACATGGTCTCCATTCTCACTCTTGAAATTACCCATCTTCAAGAATTTTTGTAAAGTTTATTAAACTAACATATCATGGAGTTAAATGGACTAGCATTGCTGCTAAAAGTTTATATTCAAGTAAACATTAGCTTAGGGTCTTCTTTTCCTTCCTTTATTCCTTCCTTCCTTCCTTCCTTCCATATTTTCTTCTTTCCCTTTTCCTTTCTCCAAGTTCCCAGTGATAGATAGGAAAAGCTTGTTTATAATACAAATAGCACAAACATCTGAACTCCAACTCCAGAGCTCTCTCCATGGTGCTAAATTGTCCTTATACACTAAGACAGAGAGACAGGAAGATAGAGAAAACAAAAATTGGTTTCTCTGTGGAAAAAAGGAACTGTTTAGAGCAAATTCGAGGCCAGCATCTGGAGTGAACTGCGTCTCATATGGCCGGGCAGGGTGGGGAATAATTGAAATGAGAAGTGGACAAATCTGACCGGACGGAGAGATATCGCTCAGAGCAAGGTTGAACTCTGTCGCTGTGCTGCACTGCTGTGATTTCAAACCCAGAGGGGGCTGGTCTTAATGTTAAACTGGGAAAACCACCTGTCAGGACATTTTCTAAGGTGGCAAGGGCTTCTCACAGATACCTTCTGCCTTCTCTCCAGAATAAATAACCTGTGTCAACAAATGGCCTGTCTTGGGGTAACAGGAGTTGCGGTATTGGTGTCGTGTGTGTGTGTGTGTGTGTGTGTGTGTGTGTGTGTGTGTGTGTATGTGTTTTGAGATGAGATCTTCCTCTTGTCACCCAGCCTGGAGTGCATTGGTACGGTCTCGGCTCACTGCAACCTCCACTTCCCAGGTTCAAGTGATTCTCCTGCCTCAGCCTCCGAGTAGCTGGGACTACAGATGCCCGCCCCCATGCCCAGCTATTTTTGTATTTTTAGTAGAGACAGGGTTTCACTATGTGGGCCAGGCTGGTTTTGAACTCCTGACCTCAGGTGATCCGCCCACCTCAGCCTTCCAAAGTGCTGGAACTATAGACAAGAGCCACCGTGCCGGCCAGGGTATTCTTGATGAATCCTTTTGCTGCCTTTGATCAGACTCCTTGGCTTAAATCCCAGCTCCAGTTGGGAGGTAGACTCTAGAAGGTAGGTACCACCTGTGAGACACTGCACTTGCCTCTGTCCCAAGAAAGATCAGCATCGGCCCAACAGAGTTTGAGCCCCACAAATGGCCAGCCATTTCTGTAGAACAGGACAGAATGGGGTGTCGGGAGTAGTGCAGTCTCCTGTGTTAGGGTGTTGACATCATTGACATTCTTTGTCTTGTGTTACCCATTTGAGAGGCTCTCAGTGTGACTTTGGGCAAATTCCTCCTGTTAATGGTTCAGTTCCCTGTCCCTTCCCCATATGCAAGTACTAGGATGATTCAGGTTGTTGTCCGTGTCATTGGACGCAGGAAACAACAATTAAACACCGCAGTGCATCAGGAGGGCTTTGTTAGGGAGACGGGATGATGACCAGGACTTGGCCTTGCAGGATGCATTAACAAGTTGTGCAGAGAGTGTGGCCCTGCATAGGCAAGAGTCCAGAAGAACAAGACTCCAAATACACTTTTCCAGAACTACCTGTCCCTGCCACAGCCAAGGACAGTTTCCTTCATGAATCATCCCTCCATTGTCCAGGCACCTGTGGGACACCATAACTGCTGCCATGTGTGATGGGGGGAAGCCAGATAAATGGCCCTGGGATTTCAGTTTCCCTTTTCCCCCTGGAAAACCTACTCCACCCACCCCCCACACTCACACTGTGCACACACTAAGGTCATTCATTTTTCTGGTATCATTTACTACCAACATCTTCCCAGATGCTCAGGCCAAGAACCTTGGAATCATCCTTCCACCTTCTCTTTCTCTCACACCTCGAGCCCCACAATACATCCAGAGTCCTATAAACATTTGGATCCAGAATCCAAATAATTATTAAATGAAAGGATGAATGGATGGAATCTTTCTTGAATAGTTGTGGTGACACTAATACCCAAAGTCTTAGAAACACGATTCTTCTCTTTATCACATATGATGTCATTTACGAAGCCTTGATAACAACATGTCCAGGTTCGTTAAGAGGCAATGTAGTGTCGCCCTCGCCCCCTCCTGAGCGCCGCCTCTCACCCGCAGCCGCCCTTCCTTCTTCCTCCCTCGGCCTCCCGAGCACCCGGGAGCTCGGAGCTGCCCCCAGCGTCCCTCCCCACCCCCCGCCCCCGCGCCTGCAGCCCATTCGGAGGGAGGAAGGAAGGGAAGAGGAGAGGAAGAGGCGCTCGAGCGGCTACCCAGAAAGAGCCGGTGAATGGGCTTGTGGTGACCCCCGCCCCGCACCCCACCCTCCCTTCCCACCCGACCCCCAACCCCCATCCCCAGTTCTAGCTGCCGCCACCTCCCCCATGGAGCTAATCACCATCCTCGAGAAGACCGTGTCCCCCGATGGGCTGGAGCTGGAAGCGGCGCAGAAGTTCCTGGAGCGTGCGGCTGGCGGTGGAGAGCCTGCCCACTTTCCTTGTGGAACTGTCCAGAGTGCTAGCAAATCCAGGAAACAATGAGGTTGCCAGAGTTGCAGCTGGTCTGCAAATCAAGAACTCCTTGACACCTAAAGAACCCAAATGCCCATCGACAATAGACTGGACAGGGAAAATGTGGCACATGTACACCAAGGATTATTATGCAGCCATCAAAAACGATGAGTTTGTGTCCTTTGTAGGGACATGGATGAACCTGGAAACCATCATTCTCAGCAAACTGACACCAGAGCAGAAAACCAAACACTGCATGTTCTTACTCATAGGTGGGTGTTGAACAATGAGAACACATGGACACAGGGAGGGGAGCACTACACACTGGGGTCTGTTGGGGGGATATAGGGGAGGGACAGCTGGGGGATGGGGAGTTGGAGAGAGATAGCATGGGGTGAAATGCCAGATATAGGTGAAGGGGAGGAAGGCAGCAAATCACACTGCCATGTGTGTACCTATGCAACAATCTTGCATGTTCTTCACATGTACCCCAAAACCTAAAATGCAATAAAAAAAAAGATCTGGATATCAAGGCACAGTACCAGCAGAGGTGGCTTGCTATTGATGCTAATGCTCAAGGAGAAGTCAAGAACTATGTTTTGCAGACATTGGGCACAGAAACTTACCAGCCTAGTTCTGCCTCACAGTGTGTGGCTGGTATTGCTTGTGCAGAGATCCCAGTAAACCAGTGGCCAGAACTCATTCCTCAACTGGTGGCCAATGTCACAAACCCCAACAGCACAGAGCACATGAAGGAGTCAACATTGGAAGCTATTGGTTATATTTGTCAAGACATAGACCCAGAGCAGCTACAAGATAAATCCAATGAGATTTTGACTGCCATAATCCAGGGGATGAGGAAAGAAGAGCCTAGTAATAATGTGAAGCTAGCTGCTACTAATGCACTCCTGAACTCATTGGAGTTCACCAAAGCAAACTTAGATAAAGAGTCTGAAAGGCACTTTATCATGCAGGTGGTCTGTGAAGCCACACAGTGTCCAGATACGAGAGCATGAGTGGCTGCTTTCTAGAATCTGGTGAAGATAATGTTCTTGTATTATCAGTACATGGAGGCATATATGGGCCCTGCTCTTTCTGCAATCACAATTGAAACAATGAAAAGTGACATTGATGAAGTGGCCCTACAAGGGATAGAATTCTGGTCCAATGTCTGTGATGAGGAAATGGATTTGGCCATGGAGGCTTCAGAGGCAGCAGAACAAGGACAGCCCCCTGAGCACACCAGCAAGTTTTATGCCAAGGGAGCACTACAGCATCTGGTTCCAATCCTCACACAGACACTAACTAAACAGGACGAAAATGATGATGATGATAACTGGAACCCCTGCAAAGCAGCAGGGGTGTGCCTCATGCTTTTGGCTACCTGCTGTGAAGATGACATTGTCCCACATGTCCTCCCTTTCATTAAAGAACACATCGAGAACCCAGATTGGTGATACCGGGATGCAGCAGTGATGGCTTTTGGTTGTATCTTGGAAGGACCAGAGCCCAGTCAGCTCAAACTACTGCAGGTATTGATCGACTCCTATGCAACTTAACGACCATTCGACTTTACGACCACAATCGCTAGCCACGACTGCTCCGCGTCTGGCAGCGCAAACGTTGCCCTGCTGGGTGTACGACAGTGCGGACCAGCTTCCGGCAGCATTACCATCTCCGCGTGCACCATTTCAACTGTACATATAGCCTACTCAACTTACGACCAAATCGTGTTACGACTGGCCCGCGGTCCCGACCGTGTTCGTAAGTTGAGCACTAGCTGTAGTTATACAGGCCATGCCCACCCTAATAGAATTAATGAAAGACTCCAGTGTAGTTGTTCAAGATACAGCTGCATGGACCGTGGGCAGAATTTGTGAGCTGCTCCCTGAAGCTGCCATCAATGATGTCTACTTGGCTCCCCTGCTGCAGTGTCTGATTGAGGGCCTCAGTGCTGAACCCAGAGTGGCTTCAAATGTGTGCTGGGCTTTCTCGAGTCTGGCTGAAGCTCCTTATGAAGCTGCAGATGTTGCTGATGATCAGGAAGAACCAGCTACTTACTGTTTATCTTCTTCATTTGAACTCAGTTCAGAAGCTCTAGAGACTACAGACAGACCTGATGGACACCAGAACAACCTGAGGAGTTCTGCATATGAATCTCTGATAGAAATTGTGAAAAACAGTGCCAAGGATTGTTACCCTGCTGTCCAGAAAACGACTTTGGTCATCATGGGGTGACTGCAGCAGGTGCTTCAGATGGAGTCACATTTACTCTGCACAACTGTTTAGAATGTTCTTCGGAAAGTGCAACATCAAGATGCATTGCAGATCTCTGATGTGGTCATGGCCTCCCTGCTAAGGATGTTCCAAAGCACAGCTGGGTCTGAGTGAGTACTAGAAGATGCCCTGATGGCAGTTAGCACATGGGTGGAAGTGTTGGGAGGTGAATTCCTCAAGTACGTGGAGGCTTTTAAACCCTTCCTGGGCGTTGGATTAAAAAATTATGCTGAGTACCAGGTTTGTTTGCCAGCTATGGTCTTAGTGGGAGACTTATGCTGTGCCCTGCAATCCAACATCATACCTTTCTGTGACGAGGTGATGCAGCTGCTTCTGGAAAATTTGGGGAATGAGAACGTCCACAGGTCTGTGAAGCCGCAGATTCTGCCAGTGTTTGGTGATATTGCCCTTGCTATTGGTGGAGAGTTTAAAAAATACTTAGAGGTTGTATTGAATACTCTTCAGCAGGCCTCCCAAGCCCAGGTGGACAAGTCAGACTATGACATGGTGGATTATCTGAATGAGCTAAGGGAAAGCTGCTTAGAAGCCTATACTGGAATTGTCCAGGGATTGAAGGGGGATCAGGAAAACGTACACCTGGATGTGATGCTGGTACAACCCAGAGTAGAATTTATTCTGTCTTTCATTGACCATATTGCTGGAGATGAGGATCCTACAGATGGAGTGGTAGCTTGTGCTTCTGGACTAATGGGGGATTCATGTACAGCATTTGGGAAGGATGTACTGAAATTAGTAGAAGCTAGGCCAATGATTCATGAATTGTTAACTGAAGGGCGGAGATCAAAGACTAACAAAGCAAAAACCTTGCTACATGGGCAACAAAAGAACTGAGGAAACTGAAGAATGAAGCTTGATCTGTCACCCTTGGGATGATAACCTGAGGACCCCCACTGGAAATCTCCAATCTCTTGAAAAACCTGGAAGTGAGAAGTGTGCACGGTTGCTGAATGTTTGGGAATGAGAGGATGAGTGAGTGAGGCTTGAAAACACACCACATTGAAAATCCTGCCACAGCAGCAGCCGCAGCCGCCAACAGCAGCGCTGTTAGTGAGCTAAGTAAGCACTGACTTCGTAGAAAACCATAACATCGGCCATCTTGGAAAAGAGAAAACAATGAAGTTACTTATTAAAAAAAAAAAAAAAAAAAAAGAAAAAAAAGAAAGCTATCTCTTCCCAGGAGAGGCTAGAAGAAAAAAAAGAAAGCTATCTCTTCCCAGGAGAGGCTAGAAGTAGCTTTTCTGTCTTTTGGCTGGTGCCAGGTGGAATGACTGGTTTGGGAGAGGAGGAGGGACTGGGTTCAGCTGTGGTGCTTTTTTGTAAAAGGCAGCCTAGCCTTTGCTACTGAGGAGAAAGATGGAGCCTGCATCTCAAGCCCACCTTCGCTGTACCTTTGCCACATGGTACTGTATGCTTGCCGGCTAGAAGAAGGGTGAGGGATTTTTTACAGTCTGAGAATGAATGTGTGTGAGTGAGGCGGTATCCACATTCTCAACTTCAAGTCACTGCAGTTTCTTTTTCCCAGAAAACAAGGGGTTAGAAGTTGCATTTCATAAAAACTAACCGAAGTTCTGTCTACTGATGCAGCACAAGAGATGTAAAAACAAAACAAAACAAAAAACAAAAAGAGGAAAGACGCTCTTTAGGTTTTGTTTCGTTTTGTTTTTTAATTATTATTACTACTCCAGGGAAAACACTGACGAATGGTCAGAGCTCCTAACCTGATCTTTTCATCAAGGCGCCTTTCCTAACACGGTTCAACTGTGAATGTAGAAGTGGGGGAGGGGGGAGAAAAAGAAAACTCTGGCGTTAGAGGATATAGAAAAATAAAAGTACAATTGTTACAAATAAAGAGCGCAGACTTCAAAAACAAAATAAGTCACAACCCAAACAAACCAAAATTTAAATGATCAGAATTGGCAGCACAAAGAAAACACCCTCTCTTGACTTGTATTGTGGCAGTCTGAACGCCCCCAGAAAATTGTGCCAAAGAGTTTAGAAAAACAAATACACAATGAAAGTAAACACACACACAAAAGAGCAAACTTCAGGTAACTATTTTGGAGTGCAAACAGGATAAATTGAATGTTCAAACAGTCTGATAAAATAACCGTTTGGAAACTGAAAAAAAAAAAAAAAAAAAGAAGCAATGTAGTGTCAAGGGGTGGGCTTGGGAGTCAGAGTCCTGGGTTTGAGACCCAGCTCAGTCAAGAATATGACCTTGGGTTCCTTAGTTAACTTTATAATTCTCAATGCCTTGATTACATAGAGGTAATGGTAGTTACTCCACAGATTTTTGTGAGAATTAAATGAGAAAATAAATATGATGTACTAATGAACATCATATACACAATACTTGTAGTACACACTTCAAAAATGTTGCATCTTAAATTGCCTTCGCATCTTCAGTTTTTAGCTTCTGTGTATTTGCTCCCTGCACCCCTCTTTCCTCCATCTCTTTCGTTTCTGTGTGGATTTCATGGGATCTCGCCCTCTTGTTCTTCCTTATGCTGCTACTCTCCCTACATGGTGCTTTCTAGAGCCTCATATGTTTACTTAGTCATTGTTCTAGTCAGAGAGTCTCTGTACACTGGTGTGACCTGAATAGCTGCTAAAATATGCAAACGTCACTTTGGGAGGCCAAGGTGGGTGGATCACCTAAGGTCAAGTGTTCGAGACCAGCCTGGCCAACATGATGAAACCCCAACTCTAATAAAAATTTTTAAAAATTAGCTGAGTGTGGTGGCACACATCTGTAACCCCAGTTACTTGGGGGGCTGAGGAAGGAGAATCGCTTGAATCCGGTGGAGGATGCAGTGAGCTAAGATCACCCCACTACACTCCAGCGTGGTGATAACAGTGAAATTCTGTCTCAAAAACAAAAACCCAAACATTTCCATACCATGTTGGTAAGTGACCACTGTCCCGAATCCTCAGGATATTTCCCTCTGCCCCAGCCCCTTCTTTGGAATATCCTGGTTCTTTCCCTGAATCCATAACTAAGGGGTTACTGTCTGACCTCCAGGAGCCTGGCCAAGTTCTAGGCTGGCGTCTTTTCCAATTGGTAGGTGTCCATGCCCTCTCACACCAGCATTCTGTAGACATGGATCTGCGCCTTCTATGTGTCATTCTCTCCTTCTTGACAGATTCACACTGTTTCCACCACAGCTCTCCACAGTGGCCTATGGAGCCAGGTGCTTGGGGGAATGAGACAGCCATCACTGGAGCTCATCCTTCTTGTCCTGACAGGGAACATAAGATTACAGCCCATCCTTTTTGATGTCTTCCTCTTTGCCTACACAGTCACAGTTGGGGGCAACCTCAGCATCCTGGCTGCCATCTTTGTGGAGCCCGAACTCCGTACTCCCATGTATTACTTCCTGGGGAACTTGTCTCTGCTGGACATCAGGTGCATCACAGTCACTGTTCCTCCGATGCTGGCATGTCTCCTGGCCCGCCAGTGCAGAGTTCCCTATGCTGCCTGCATTTCACACCTCTTCTTTTTCCACCTCCTGGCTGGGGTAGACTGTCACCTCTTGACAGCCACGGCCTATGATCACTACCTGGCCATCTGTTGGCCTCTCACCTACAGCACTCATATGAGCCGTGAAGTCCAGGGTGCCCTGGTGGGCATTTGCTGCACCATCTCCTTCATCGATGCTCTGACTCACACAGTGGCTGTGTCTGTGCTTGACTTCTGTGGCCCTAATGTGGTCAACCACTTCTACTGTGACCTCCCACCTCTTTTCCAGCCCTCCTGCTCCAGCATCCACCTCAATGGGCAGCTGCTTTTTGTGGGGGCCACCTTCATGGGAGTGATCCCCAGGATCCTTATCTCAATGTCCTATGCCTGTGTCTCAGCTGCAGTGTTACGAATCTACTCAGCTGAGGGGAAGAAGAAGGCTTTCTCCACGTGTGGCTCCCACCTCACTGTGGTCTGTATCTGACGGAACTGGCTTCTTCAGTTACATGTACCTGGGCTCAGTCTTAGCCTCAGACAAGGATAGGGGGATTGGGATCCTCAACACTATCCTCAGTCCCATGCTGAACCCAGCCATTTGCAGCCTCCGGAATGCTGACATGCAGGGCGCCCTGAAAAGGGTGCTGACAGGGAAGAGGCCCCCAGCATGAGAAGATGGGGTGGGTGTCAAAATGCAACCTCCCTCCTTGAGCAACCCCCGACTTTCTTATGCTGAAGGATTAGGTGTGGGCAGAAAACATCTTCAGGGTTGGGTCATGAGATGGGAGGAAAATAGACAGCATTGGTTAGGGTAGAGTGTGGTCCGCCTTGGATTGAGGAGAAAGGCTAAAGCTTAGGTGAGAGAGTGTGTAAGTCACTAATACAAAGTGAACTGAAGACAGGAGAAAATTATGATGTGGGTCAGGTAGTGAGAGATGAACGATTTTGTATTTTTTTTTAATTTAATGATGTTCGATCGAAACATATTTAAAATGTTGATAAAAATGAAATGTCTAGTCTCCTTTTTAGAAAAACTCTATTTGTATTTGAGTGGGGGTGTGTGGTTTTAAAAAGGCTCTACTTTAAGAAACAAGTCTAGTATTGTAAAGTTAAATTTGGGCTTGACATATGCTGGGAGCAGAGCGTTGGTACCTGTCGGAGCACCCTGCAAACATCTTCAGAGCAACGCTAGCAAACCCCTGTTCCCAAAACCGGTGGCCCCTTTCTGCTACTTATTAGCAGGGACAACACAGGTACATGGCAGTGCATGAGCCGATTCTGACAACGCCCCCACCGGCAACATACGAATGTATCATTATATGTTCCCTGAGAAGAAGCATTAATAACTATTTATTTATTTATTTATTTTTGAGATGGAGTTTTGCTCTGTTGCCCAGGCTGGAGTGCAGTGGCATGATCTTGGCTCACTGCAGCCTCAACCTCCTGGGTTCAGTTGTTCCTCCTGTCTCAGCCTGCTGAGTAGCTGGGATTACAGGCCCCTGCCACCACGCCTGGCTAATTTTTGTATTTTTAGCGAAGACGGGGTTTCACCATATTGGCCAGGCTGGTCTTGAACTTCTGATCACATGTGGTCCACCCACCTCGGCCTCCCAAAGTGCTGGGATTACAGGTGTGAGCCACCGCTCCTGGCTGTAAGTTTTATTTTCAATGGCAGAATACACTGATTTATGTTGGACATTCTGTTCAATATGTGCAGATAATTAGTAAAGGTGAGGAGACTGATAAGAAGGGAAACTAGAGGGGAACATCATTTGCAATTTATCAATGAGTAAGTACTGGAACCTGAGATTTTAACAACGGAGTGAAACTATGGCACTCTAGAGAGAAATAATAGAATGATAGTCAATTTCATGTGCTGTAGTGCCCATTTCTAGAACTTATTCTGTGAATCCTTCAGGTTCCTCCTGGTCAAGGAGTTGGAAGTCGAAGACGGACCTTGCCGACATGCTTATTAATTATTTGAGGAGGGCAGTAGGGAACCCTTAAGGGGCCTGAGATTATTTCAGCACACAGAGGCATCCACAGTCATTCTCCACATCCGGCCAGCTGCCACTGAGCATCATGCTGGACTCTCTCATACCACTGTCCTCTAACAGATAGCTGCCTCCATCCAACAGTTGCTGAGCCCTGGGCTCCTCCCGAACTCAGTGCTGTCTACACTGCCCCATTAATCCCCTGGTCCAATGTCTGCTCCATGTCATTTCATCTGCCAAAGACTCCCCAGTCTTTCTAGATCAAATCTAGACCATTTTCAGGTATGCAAGGTCTTCTGTCATCCCTTCCTGGCCTCTCCACTCAATCTTCATCTTTTTTTTTTTTTTTTTTGAGATGGAGTTTCACTCTTATTGCCCAGGCTGGAGTGCAATGGTGCAATCTTGGCTCACTGCAATCTCCGCCTCCCAGGTACAAGTGATTTTCCTGTCTCAGCCTCCCAAGTAGCTCAGATTACAAGTGTGCACCACATGCCTGGATAATTTTTGTTATTTAGTAGAGACAGTTTCACCATGTTAGTCAGGCAGGTTGTGAGCTCCTGACCCCGGGTGATCCACTTGCCTCAGCCTCCCAAAGTGCTAGGATTACAGGTGTGAGCCACCACACCCAGCCCAATCTTCACTTTCAACCGCAGGTGCTGACTTGGGTGGTTCATGAATCCTTTTGCTTGTATTCAACGTTCTTAATCTCCTCTGAAAGAGTGTGGCCTACACAGTAGGACAGCATCATAATTTTCTGTGTATTCCTCGAGGCTTCTTTTGTTCTCCCCAGCTAAGTTATAATCTCATTAAGGATGAGATCCATGTCTTATATTATGTCCTCCAAACACACAACAAAGTGCTGAGTAAATAGCTGATGTTCAAGCCATCTTGTGGGTTAGCTGACAACAGAAAGCATGACTTAAAATAAGAAATTTGTCCTCCACATAGGAAGTCACTGAAACTGCCAGATATTCTCAAAATATCCTAAAGGTCCCAATATTAGGATAGTATAAAGATATAAAGAGAATTTCTTTTTAAAAAGAAATTTTCTTCTGATGAAATAAAGACAATCATTGAATTTGACATAACAAGGAGAAGCTTTCCTGACTTTGTGCATGAACTGCAATATCATTTCTCCTCAAAAAATACCCTGAAGCTAAAACCAAAGAAGTATCTCCTTGCAAAAAATTAGAAATGGAGCATTTAATTAGCAAAATCTGAGCATAACATTACAGGTTGGGAAATTCTAAAATATCCAAAGGCTTGGGAGCACATTACAGAGAGGGGAGTAATAGCAAATGAATGATCATAAGTTGTGCCAAAGTGTTTGCCTTTCCTTGATTCATCTTCTAAAGTGAGTTTTTAACCCTGCTATGCCAATATAAATAACTAAAAAGCATATATTTGTTTAAAAAGAAGAGTGAAGGTATGGACATGAGAAGTTGTATACCCTGCATTATGAAATTTGGAAAGTGATGTTGATAGAAACAGGGTGTGGACAGAAAAAAGTCCTGGAGGAAAACCCTTAACCTGCACGTGATGGTTCCCTCTGTGTGGGGGAATAGGACTGGGTAGGGCTGTGGAAAATGAGGAATGGCTTTCAGTTTTTACTCCATTTATTCTGGTATTCTTACAAGTTTTTTACTGAGTTCTGTAATAAAAAAATAAATAAATCTATTTTCTAAATTTCAACTTTTACTTTAGATACAGGAGACGTATGTGCAGATTTGTTACCCGGTGACACTGCATGATGCTGAGGTTTGGAGTACAGATTCCATCGCCTTGGTAATGAGCATGGTACCTAATACCTGGTGTTTTAGCCCACACCTCCTCCCTCCTCTCTTTAGTAGTTCACAGTGTCTCTTGTTCTCATATTTATGTCCATGTGTAACTCAATGCTTAGCTCTGTTCTGATGAGAACGTGTGGTATTTTATTTTCTGTTTCTGTGTTAATTTGCTTAGGATAATGGCCTCCAGCTGCATCCATGTTGTGGCAAAGGACACGATTTCATTCATTTTCATGGCTGCATAGTATTCCATGGTGCATATGTATAATATTTTCTTTACCCAGTTCACCATTGATGGGTACCTGTGTTAATTCCATATCTTTGCTATTGTGAATAGCTCAGTAGTGAACATATGAGTGCTTGTGTCTTTTTGGTAGAATGATTTATTTTCCCTTGGGTATATACCCAGTAATGGGACTGCTGGGCCAAATGGTAGCTCTGTTTTAAGTTCTTTGAGAAATCTCCAGACTGCTTTCCACAGTGGCTGCAATAGGTTACATTCCTACCAACAATGTGGAAGTGTTCCCTTTTCTCTGCAGCCCTGCCAGCATCTGTTGCTTGTTGACTTTTTAGTAGTGGCCATTCTGACTAGTGTGAGGCAGTTTCTCATTGTGATTTTGATTTGCATTCCTCTGATATGAGTGATGCTGAACACTTTTTTAAGGGCTTGTTGGCCGCTTGTATGTCTCCTTTTGAGAAGGGCCTGTTCATGTCCTTTGCCCATTTTTTAGTGAGATTATTTGATTTGTGTGTGTGTGTGCAGGTTAACCAATTTTAATGGAACCAAGTAATTAAACAATACAATTTTATATTCATCCACAAAAATACATCTTGCAACCTTTGGAAATTGTAGAAAGAAAACAGAGGGGAGCGTATCCTTGTGGAGAGTCTCTGGTTGTAACCAGAGATCAGTATTTTGGTCTTTTGACTTCATCCCCAACAGCTTCCATCTTCTTCCTCTTCTCAATGATTGCCCTAATCTTCCACTGGCAATCAAGCTCTGCTTTGTCATTGGTTTCCTTGAAGCACCTGGTTTTCCACCCTCAGACATTTTGAAACCATACTGGAATGCAGCCTTGGGCAAAGCCTCCTTGTTCATATACTTGCTGTGATTATTTGAGTTTTACTTGCTGATTTGTTTAAGTTCCCTGGATATTAGGCTTTGTCAGATGCATAGTTTGTAAATATTTTCTCCCAATCTGTAGGTTATCTGTTTGTTCTGCTGATGGTTTCTTTTGCTATGCTGCTCTTTTTAATTAGGTTCCAATTGTCAATAACTAACTAAATAAAACTTTTAAAGTGCTAATGGTAAAAATGGAGTGGGCAGTGGTAAGGTGAGTCAACTGTAGTGTTTTCTCTCCAGCCTTCAGAGTGTCCCCTGCCATCCTCACCTTTGAAAAAACTATTAAGTTTGCCTGTCTATCCAACACAAGGCCACCCTGTTCACTTGATCAAGATTCAGAGGCCCAGAAGAAACATGAAGTAGTTATCAGTCATCCTGTCCATCTCTCCTCATCTAAGTTAAAAGTCAAACCAAACACTCACATCCTTAAGAGAATAACCCTGGTAGACCTTCTTTCTTCTTTCGATCTCCCGTCCCTGAAGACTGAAATTTCACCCTCCACTCCACCCCAACCCTTCATCCTGCCCCACCATCAACAACCTGTTCCCCCAGCGCCCACTTCCCTGTTGCATAGTTTTGAATCTTTATATGGAATTCCAGTCAAAATGGTGACTCATCTTGGTTGGGATGGATGTGTGATCTATGCAAATACAAGTCCATGGATTCCTGACACCAAAAGATACTTCTACCAATATTTTTCCCCAGTCATCCTAACTGAGATAGCTCATATTCAAAGAAACATGTTTCAGACATTGTGAGTTCTCAAC